ATTGTGCATAGTTAATGCCTTAAATTAAATGTGATTTTTTCCCTTAGGAAAATAGATGGAGAAATCAATCCCTACCTTTCGAGTTTCATTATCTCAAATCAAATCGGGTTTTTTCCCCCCAAAATATAGATACACTGTTGGTGATTTGTATAGTGAAAGGGTTGTTTGTAATTGACAAAGTTAATGATTAAGTTTAATTCGTATAAACGTAATTATATTCAATATATATATAGAATGGAAAACGAAAGGAAATGAAAAAGAATAAAAAATGAAAGAAATTCAAGGCAAGTGATACAACACTTTCTCCTTAAAACAAAATTGCATCACAATGGTGCTATCAAATTATGACATGTCTCCCGAAATACAACATACAATTTGTGGTAGAAGTACTTCAATTTACAAGTAATAGCAAATTCAAACGATTTTCTTATCTCTACAAGAAAATAATTTTGGAGAGTTTTTGCTATAGTTTTTTATGCGAGACTCAATGCCAATGATATATGATACATAATGATCGTCCAAGGGGTCCTATGTAGAAGATGAGAGGTTATGAGTGAAGAGATACTCTCCAAAACTCAGCAACCATCAAGAAGGGTCGCAATCCTATCTATCGCTCGCTTGGCACGGGCTTATAGCTCAAGCGATAGTTTCGCTGCTCGCTTGGGACTAGTCTAAGACTCGAGCGGCAGTGTTAGTTGATTTGGTCTTTTCTCTTCATTTTTCTTCCATTTTGAACCACAATTTCTCATTCATTCAGAACTTTTTCTAGTGAGTTTCTTAAATATGAAAGTGTATCTTAAAATTATGATAAATACGTATTTTGCCATAATAGAAATTAATTACAATTTTATTTTCTTTACATAATTTTGAGATAACTTATTATTGATTAACATTAAGGGTCCATTTGACTGCATATTTGGAAAATGGGTGGAAAGAAAATGTTTTACAGAGAATTGATTTGCCTAGAAATTATTTTACTAAAAATTGTAATTAATTATGTTTAATTAGTATAATTTTCATGGAAAATATTGAAAATTTGGTATCAGTTTGGTTTCTTTTTTTATGAAAATTGTTCATTAAAGTGATAATATTTTCTACCATTGGGTCTAGAATTTGTTTCAATTGAAAAAAA